AGAAAACTACGAAATTTTCAAATTATGATCGATTATTTGGGTGAGTGGAAAAATTGTGAGCCCACCGCGCCATAAATTCCGGCGAGCTACCAAAAAAACGAAGAGCCAAGCTACTCAAAATATTTCGAAGTAATCCGTAAAAAAACCTATGTCAGTCATATAACTCTTTATAACTTGTTTTTTTTTTTTGAACGAATCAAAAATTAAAAGAGATAAAAGAGAGAATACGCTTTGAGATCAATAAGTTCAAGACAATGGTATACCAACTAAAATGTTCTCTGAAAATTTTATAAGAATTGTGGGTTAGAACTAAACGAAATATCAAAATTTAGGAGTTTGTTTCTTCTGCAGGTTAAACCACCAAACACAATGCCATCATGATAGATGAATTCTTGAATATCTCACGCAACATTTTAGTTGATATTCAATCATATATATCTAATTTTTTGTCGTATGACTTCTAAAATTGATTGAAATTGACAATAATTAAATTTGTTTGGATATTAATCTCGTCATTCAAGAAACTCAGAATGATGAGTAAAAAATATAATTCAAAAAATGTTTGAAAACCTTTCACACAGATAGAGACTAAAAAATCCAAATAATGAACATCACTTTATTTATCAGATCTGGGACAGACTATGTCTGTATTTTGTTCGTATTCAAGACCTTTATTTTAGAAACTTTTAGTTTTCCAGGTTTTCTCCTATTAAAAGCAAATTCTCTTGTTATAATAATCGCAGACATTAAAAGTTATTACCAACATTCAGGATTTTGGTTTTAAAATCATTAATAACCACTATTGTTTGTTTTTAAATTAAATACAATTTAAATAAAAATCTATTCACAAATAGTTAGATATAAGAAATAATGTTGATATTCAAACATTGCTGCATATCCTTTCGTATTCCTTAGGAAAAATTTATTCAATTTTGATATTTTTATGCAAGATTGCGTACTGCATCTCATGCATTGCATCATTTTTATAAGCTCATTAAATAAAAATTTTTATAAAAAAATAAAAATTCAAAAATATAACAATATTTAATATAACAAATACAAAATATTTTGTAAAATATTTTGTAAATTTTCTAAAAAAATTCTTTCTATTATAACAAAAAAATTTGACAAAAAAAATCACAAAATTTTTTTAAGAAACTAAAAAGGATTCTTGCATCAATGATTTATGCTTCATAATATGACAAAAAAAAAATTATAGTGCAGTATGAATCCTTTTAAGAAATATGTCACGTTCAGTGGATTTCATTGCTTTTCCTTATATCGTTCATATCTTGATATCTTATACGTTTTCACATACCTGGAACTGTGCGATACGAACACATGCTAGGACAGCTTATTTGGCTTGAGATGAGATGCTGATATCCTGGAAACTGCATTAAAAATGAAGCGGGAAAACACTTAAGCCACGTGGATTTTCGTTTCATACTCGCTAACACGGTTATTGGTTTCACTTTTACTTAACAAACTTATTTTACAAAATAAATTTCCTTGAAAATAAATTTGATTCTAGAAATTTCTAAAAATGTTTAAAGTGCATGGGAAGGTCGCTGCAAATGCAAATTTTTATTGAAGTATGAATAGAGCAACAAAATTATTTACATTTAAATTTCTTTCAATTATATACAAATTATTATAATTTGTTAAAAGGATTCCTTAACAAAAATTAATTTTACACTAAAAAAAACCAATTAAACATAATAATAATAATGACATATAACATAATTTATAGGTAATATAATAATGTAGTTAAAATTAAACATATAACTAGAGCATAATACTGAGTATAGCTGCAAAATAATCACTAATTATGGGGCAGCGAAAGGATATCTGTTGACCTTCCATTGCACCCAAAGCACAATACAAGTCTTTGTCTCTAGCATGGACTAACTCTCCTTCTCTTGGCGATAGTAGACTCTCAGTTTGATTAGCTGTATATATATTTTTCTGTTCTGTTCGCTTTCGACTTCATATAGAGTAAAAAATCTATATAACTAATACTAATAATACTAATTCTATATAACTAACTTCACTAATATTTTCTTCACGGAAATACAGTTCGGCGAATTCAATGCTTTTAATTTAACAGCTTCAAAGTTCAAAGCCCGGTACTTACAGTCTAACAATTATATACGGACAATAATCCAGTCAAGGCGTAAAGAGGGGTTTTGAAAACATCTCAAGTTAAGAAAGAGTAAAAGTGCTCAAGTGCACGGGCTCAAATAGCTTCAGAATAAATTATATATTATACGAGTAATAATTTTAACGATTTATGACAAATATATTCTTTGTTGTAACTTTTCCAATACATTAATACTCTTAATAATTGAATACATCACAGTCTAGTAGTTAGCGGTTTACTATTCTTTTTAGTTACTACCTTCTGCTCAAAAAGTATCCGTTTTAGTATCCGATTTTGTTGGTTGTTAACTACTCCTTAAGTAATAGGCCTTAATATTAATGTGATATTAATGCTGTTAATGTGAGACTACCTCCAGTGCATTTAGCGACTTTTACTATGGAAAATTCTTGTTGTACGCGATTTTTTGACCAAACACGGCACCACTGTCATCGCTCAGGCTCAGGCACCATATTCGCCAGATCTGGATCCGTGCGACTTTTTCCTATTCCCGAAACTCAAATTGCTCCTTCGTGGTAAGCGTTTTGAGTCAATTGAGTCGGTAAAAGAGAATTCGCTGAAGGAACTAAAAGCTATACCTTCACGGAAGGCCTACGAAAAGTGTATGAAAGATTGAGCTAAGCGTTGGCATATATGTATCGCTTCAGATAGACCATATTTTGAAGAAGATTAAATAAGTTTGGAATAAAATTTAAATTTGTGGTTTATTTACAAAATCCGAGTACTTTTTGAGCAGAAGGTACATTCTTATTCTAATTATAAGAATTATTTACAAGACCACTGATGATGGGTATTTGTCAATACTCGAAACAGCTGTATGGTTAGCCAAAAATTCATTTAATTAATGTAATATAAAAAGTATTTTTGTAGTTCATTACTGTTCGAAAATCCTCTTTATGAATTACAAGTTATGTTTATATTTCAATTATTGCTTAAGCGTAAAACATACAAATCTTAACTTAGATATATGTAATACATATATATCATCCTTTTTCAAAAAAAAAGTTTAATTTTATGTGCTAGATCCGTTTTTGTACATACTTAAATCATATAAATCTAATAACTAGAAGTTAATTTTTATTTCAACTATAGAAAATGGTACTAAATACTTCAAAAATTTTTTATTACACATTTATTTTTATTATACAAAATCTTTTAAGCTGCTTACAAAAATTCTACTTTAAACTTTTCTTACGAAAAAACCATCCAATCCTTACGAAGTGCAAAGAAAGTGCCTTAAAGTTTACACAACCAAAAGCTTATGGAATTAGGTATGGTATTTTAAGGTATTAATTTCATACAGAATAGAAATACCCAATTTCATACATCGTACATTAATGTATATGTCAAAAATTACACAAAATATCTTCATCAATAAGAAAGTAAACAATTAATCTTATGATTTCGAAAGCTAATAGAAGATATAAAACAGTATAATAAAAGTATCTACCATTGTACAAGGACCTTAAGGAATTGAAGAAAATAAAAGATTTTTTTTAACCAAAAACAAAAATAATTGTTCTGTCGACAAGACCAATGCAACTTTGCTGTTCTGATACAAACGAACTGGACACATATATACAATCTACACATATATACAATCTACACATTATGAATTCCTACGGTAGATACAAATAAACTTATAGTTCTCCCTGTTCTCACCACATTTTTATTAAAACTAAAGGAACACAATACAATACAGATGATGAGCAGATACAGCAGCAGCCCCAGCACCGGCACCGCCAATGCCAGGCATACTTTAAGCTTTCAATCTAACAGATGGAGAGCAGTGTTGGGGGGAAGCTACTGAAACTGGAGATAAAAAGTATAAAAGTATATTTACACGAAAAATGCTTAGACCAGACAATGTGAAGTAAAGTGAACTGAACTTTATTGTAACGAAGTGAATTTAGCAAATTTTCTTGCGCTTATAATTTTTTTAATTTCTGGCATTTTATTATAATTATTATTTATTATTATTATTATTATTTTTTTTTTGCTTGTATTTGTTTTCACTTTTTTACTAGTCAACCAAAACTTCAAGTGCACGGACTACAAAGTCAATACAAAGTCAATACAATACAAAAATGGCAATAATAGCAGATAACGTTGGACCGACAATTACACAGTCAATACATACGTTAATAGATACAAGCACTCTATATCTGCCAACTACATCAACCACGATGGCTTGACAATACAAATGATGAAAATCTCGCTGCCGCCTCATCGATGAGGATTTCATGGTTTTCGTTCGACTACGTGAAACCTCATTTGGAAATAATATTTTTATTTTTATAATTTTCACAACAGTTTGTTCTACTTTTATATCGATTCTACTTTAAGCAAAATATTTATGTATTTATTAGCAATTGTAGACACACAGCTTATATGTATATATTCATCAACTCAAGATCTATATAACGAAGATTGTAGGTAATTCGTTCAGAACAAGATAACAACTAAATATATAAAAGCGAATCAAAATACAAATAATCTCCAACAACATTTACGATTTGTATGAAGAATCAAAATATGTTGTAATATCGTAGCATCCTGTCCATATCCTTAAAAAATACGTTCAGCATATTAATTTATTTCTTTTTTTTTTTCTTATTCTGTGGAATTATTTTCCACTTCCTAGCTATATAATTGCTATTCATGCATTCTTGCGAATTCATTTTTATCCTTATTTAGTATTGTGATTTCATTTTGTAATTTTTTTTTGTTTTTTTTTTTTTGTTGAATTATCTACTTCATGCTTTGTGAATGTAAGTGACACTCAATAACTTTTTATTTTTTTTTTATTATGAAACATTTCAATTTTTATATTTAATTGGCTTTTAATGACTTTATTATGAATTCAGTAGGAATGTCCTTAGAATATTGCTTGTTTGTTAAAATTTAATTTTGTCCACTTATTGTTCCATAATTTGTACATTAATAGTCCCACCAAAATGATGTTCATTGATTTGATAAAAGTTTTGATTAAGGCATGTCGGTCACTAGGGAATTGGAGCAGAAGAAAAGATAAACAAATTACATTCGAATAGATACATATATGTATGTATTTTTATATAAAACACTAATAAAAATAAAATAAAAATTGTTTAAATGTAAATAAGTTTTTCATTTAATTATTTCATATAATATATGAATGAATATAAAAACGCTGAAATATAATATATAAAAAAAGTTTTTAATTAAGAAAATGATATACATACATATATAAAATAAATATATATATACATATAAATATATATGTAGGCAGGAAGGGTAAGATCTGGCAATACTGGGAAAAAGAAACAACCAGGAGGAACAAGAAGCAAGCGAGGGAGTCGAAAAAGAAATGTGCGTTTAAGAAGACGTTTAATACGATTACATACATACAATTTAATTTATCTATTAAATAAACTTTCCTACATATATATATAAGAAAATGCTATATACATATATATATTTAAAATAAATAAATATATATATATTATGAATTTTTTAATATATATATATATATATATATATATATATATATATATAATATATATTATATATATATATACATGACCTTCGCTGGCTTGGTCATGTCGTAAGAATGGATGAAGACGCTCCGGCGAAAAAGGTGTTTGAAGCAGTAGTTGGTGGAAGAAGACGTAGAGGTAGACCGTGTCTCCGGTGGAGTGATCAAGTTGAGGGAGCACTAACTGGACTTGATATACGAGACTGGAGAAGCCGCGCACGCAGCAGAGGCGCCTGGGGAGACATGCTGCGTCAGGCCGAAACTCGGTAACGGGTTGTTATGGCCACATAAGTAAGTAAGTAATATTATAAATATATATTATATATATATATACAATATATATATATATACACATATATGTTATATATGCCCATATACGCAAAAAAAAAATTTCTAATCGCATTAATTAATATTTATGTATAGGTATAAAATTACCTATACATGCAAAAAACGGTTTAAAGCGTATTAATTTTTTTTGATATTCATTGATTATTTTGTATATAGTTCTTTATAATTAAATAAATGTATAAGACATGTATTTGTTTTCTATAAAACTTCAAATTCTATATTAAAAAATATTATATAAAATAAAATAATAAAAAAATAAAAACACTTAAAAATATTTTCTAAGTTAATTAATAATTTCTAAGTTAATATAATTTAGTTACTAAAAAATGTTTTTAAAAAAAATATTAATTTATAATTATCGATTTTTAAATTGAATATTATGTCTATTGGATATTTATTTAATAAAAAAATATTAATAAATAATTTTCATATATAAACAATTACTTACGCAAGAAATGCTGAATATTTTGCTCTTAAAATAACTGCCTCGTACTTCATCAAGTGAAATGTCATATTTAAAGACAACATTTGACTATTTTTAAAAAAAAAATAAAACAAAATAAAGTTTAAATAGATATATATATATATATATATATACATACATAATAGTATTATATGAATTTTATGCAATTTAATATAATTGTATTAAACATAAAAAAGTGCCCATTCTTAAAACAATTATTATAAGAAAAACTTTTATAATATCTTGCCCTGAAGAACAAATCAGAGAAAATTCATAACTGGAAAGTTTTTATGTACAAAAAAATTATATCTAACAAATACAATTTGAATTAATAATAAAAAGCTTATACATAAAAATAACATATTTAACATTAAAAACAAAACAAAAAGGAAAAGCTCTTAAAATAACAGTAGGAACAGTCTACGGCGACAAAAACTGATCTGAACCACTCAAGCTGAAAGAATGGTTATATACTAAACTTTTTAAAAATGTCATATCATGAATTTTTATGACGTCATTTTTTAAAATTATCTTGGTGTATATTTTATGCTATTAATCTTGCGTTGATTCTATCTATGCTATCTATGGTGGGATAGATTTATAACGTACATTGTTCTGTTAGATAGTCTACTGATCTACTGATGAAATATTGGTTATTGGTTATTGGTTAAGCAGACAGAAAAATTAAAATAAATATTTAGTTTAAGTAATTCAAAAATTTTTATTATAAATAATAAAATAATTAACTTTCATAAACAAAATCTTCGTCCAACTATTCACTGCTAGATCACAACTAGTCGCAATTTAACTTTAGATAAGTACTCCTAAAAATCAATTTTTACTTAAACAATTTTTATTTAAATTCTTTAAAATTACAATTAAATTTTTTTTTATCATAATTAACAACTTTATTTTTCTTTCATTCTAGGTGAGTTTCATTTATTCTACATAATTTTGAGTAAGTATATATAAGAAATCAGAGCAACTTTACAACTCGAAAGTCTTTATATATAAGAAAATTATATCTAATAAATACAATTTGATTTAATAATAAAAAGTTTATTTATAAAAATAATAACACATTTTTAACTCTTAAAAGAAAAAAAACAAAAACTATTTTAAAATAACAAATAACATATACGTACATTTATATACATATCTTTTTTTTTAATTAAATCTTATTTCATTAAACTATATATTTATATACATTTGTTTTTTTTAACTGAGGAACATATTGTATATTGGTTCATTAAAAAATGTTCAATATATTTAATTTATAGTATTATTCGATTAAGGTTTTATTCTATTAATTTATTAATATTATAAAATGCAAATTAAATTGTGAATCCATATAAAAATATTTGAGAAACTAAAATAGCAGTGCGGATTTAAAAGCTTTTAAATTTGTTATAATTCAATATATTATATAAAAATATTTAAAATGCAATTAAAAAACAATTCATAAAATTTTACAAATAAAATAAGAATTTAAGGTTGCAATTTAATATATTAATTAAATATATTAATAGTAATATTTTATATTAATTTAATTAGCCATGCAAACAACTCCTTCAAGGGGCGCTAACTGCAAGTCAGTGGCTGAAATGTTATGTCTAAAATGCACAAGACAACAAATTAAAATGCAATTCGAACAAAAGTCTAATTTTAAGAAAAATATAGGTGCACTTGCCCTGCTTCGAGTTCCGATTCAGTGCCCGCAACCGCTACAGTTAACCGTTCAGGCGCATCAATTAAATTAGTCAAATCTACAATTTCTGTCTGGTTACCCAAATTGATAAGCGTGAACACCGTGGGCTGTCCCTTCAGTTCCCTAGAAAACAACCAAAAAGTTTGCATTGTGGATAACTTATTCAAACGGTAAAAAAAAATTAAAAAAATTAAAATTATTATTTATTACCTTTTGAATGCAAACACAGCTCTATTCAGCACTTCGGCATGGAGGCGACCTTCCCGCAACACAGGTGATTTTCGCAATTCCAAAAGCATTTTATAGAGCTTATAATGACTCTTATCTGCTAGTTTTTGTGCTTCCAAATTCAATTGCTTATAATTAGGATGGACTGGCAACCAAGTTTTAGCTGCGCTCGAGAAGCCTGCCAAAAATATTCTTTTTTTTTTAATTTTTATGAGAAACGTGAAATTATTCTTGCCAATTAATATTATGTTTTTTTTTTGTTTATAAAAGCAGTTAAATCAACATTCTCTTGAATTTTTTTAATTAAAAATTTATTAATTTTATATGTATTAATGTATATAAATTATAAAAAATACCAGCATTTTTGTCTGCATTCCATTGAAACGGTGTTCGTACTGGATCACGTGACACTTTTTGGTACTTTAGCGGTCCCACATTTCGTGCTGGTGGATCGACAGTATCTTCCCAGCTAATATCACGGTAATCTTGCATGCCAATTTCTTCACCCTTTTGCATAATTTAGCAATGAAAAAAAGAATCGAGCATTTTATTTATATATACACAAAAATTATAAATATAAATCACTTTGTCATATATCAAACACACATACTATTTACGTACAAAAGAAAATAACTTTTACGTGCTTACATTATAAGTGACCGCCACACCTGGTAAAGTCATCAACAACATATTCAGGGCATCCACAAGTTGTGGGCCAAACCTCGAAGCGACACGAGGATTATCATGATTTCCCATAACCCAATTTGCAGCATGTTTGCGTGGCATATATGTTAACCACTTCTGTATGTTATAGACAAAATCTCGAGCATCCGAGTCTGCATTCAAATCAGTAATGAATAAGAAATTAAAAGGTATATGTGAGCCTTTCACGCCTTTTTCGTTTTCATAATAATCCATGAGCTTTTTCAAGTCTGCATATGCTTCAGTCATCATAATACGTGCAGAGCCACCATGTTTGGCACTGTAGTCATCCAGCAGCAAACGCCAATGCTGCACCATTTCATTAACTTCCGGCTGTGAAATATATGCAAAGGAAACGGCATATATAAACGTTAAAATTCATTAACTTTATTTAAAATTATATATGATGGTGGAAAATGTATTGCATTAATGGATTGCATACCAAGTCCTTTGTGTATATGTGTTTAGTGTACTCATAGGAATTTTTATCAGAAGTTTTGCCACTCAGTGGTTCATCACTTAATTCGGGCACTTCAAAAAGATGATTAACAGCATCCACGCGAAAGCCACTAACGCCTTTATCCAACCAGAAATACATAACATCATCTATAGCCTTTAAAACTGCTTCATTACGAAAATTAAGGTCTGGTTGTTGAACAGTGAACTGATGCAAATAGTATTGCTGACGTGTCTCATGCCAAGTCCATGCTGAACCATAAAAAACTGATTGCTAAAGAGTAAATATTAATGCAATGATTTTATTACTACTTGTAAGTCATAATTATATTTAATATTAATACATAAATTTTTACAAACACAAATACACACCCAATTATTTGGGGGCACACGTTCACCATCCTCACTGATTTCACCATCGGCCCACACATAAAAATCTTCAAAACCTTCAATGCGTTCGGCTGATTTTTTAAACCATTCACATTGGTCTGAACTGTGATTTGGCACGAAGTCCAGTATAATTTTTATATCTGAAGAAATATAAATTATAAAGCTATTTCATCTTATGGAACAACAACGATAGTCATAAGTAATAACCCCAGTCAAAAATTTACTTGTGGCTGGGTTGTTTCAGTTGATTTCAGTAATTAAAAAAAAATTTTAACTTACTAAACAGTCAAGATACATCAATAAAAAATTTAAATAATTATATATGAATAGGTTAAATCGATTCATTTCGGGAAAGGCTTCAACACCTCAAGATCCCATTGGCGATGTGTTTGTGTACATGCTCATAACAAAGTTCAAGTAAATTTAAGAAGTTTACAATACATATTATAAAATTGAGTGTAAGAGAAAAAACAATATGTCGGTTTAAATTTGGTCATGAGAGCCGAGGGTCACTAAAGCCGTGTCACTAAAGCAAAGCGGTTATGTTCAGTAATAAATGTCAATATTTGTGCCTTTTAGTAGCAATTTTTTGCAATGAATGATACACTCTACATAACACCCATTTTCGTCATAGCGCGAATTTTGACGACCCCATGACACTCTATATATATAACATGGGCCCTTAAGAGTAGAATATCAAACACATACAAAATATTAAAAAAAAAGAGTTTAAGATTTTTTTACAAATTTCTATTACTAATTTTATTTAAGTATCTAACTTTTCAAATGATTACTTATCCTTACTAATTCATAAATATTATCTAAACGATATGATTCAGCTATTAATCTTTAAAATCTTGCAACGTGTCGTATTCATGCCTTTAAAATGAGATTATAATCATAATCATATCGTAACGGAAATTACCCAATTTCGATTATGATAGTGCTTGGATACTCTACCAGGGCTTTCACAATTGATCTCTGAACCACATTACAAGCTCCCCCAATATAATAATAATTACCTAAACGATTTGCTTCAGCTATTAAGTCTTCAAAATCTTGCATAGTGCCGTATTCACTGTGTATGGCTTTAAAATCAGATATATCATAACCGAAATCAACCATAGGCGATTGAAATATAGGACTTAGCCAAGCTGCTGTGATACCTGTTTCAGCAAGGTATGGCAAACGCTGTATAATACCTTCAAAATATAAATACAGACATATATTATATAGCCAAAAATAAATAATATATTTTTACCTCTTAAGTCACCAATGCCATCGCCATCACTATCACTAAAAGAGCGCGGGTATATTTGATAGAAGACCGCATGTTGCCACCAATCGGTAGCAGGTTCAGTGGCTGTGGATGCTGTGGCTGCTGTCGCCATTGCGATGCTGTGTAGTTTCACTAATAAAATGCAGCTGCAAAAAAGTGCCACAGAGAAATGCATTTTAAAATTTGTCACAAATCTAAAATTTTTATTTGTTTTTTTTTTATAAAATATAAATTCTAAATTTTCTGCACTTTGTTTCTTGTCCAAATGCGAGTAACAACACTTAATTCAGTACTAATTTTGCGGATTTCACTCTTGCCTGTGGCATACGATGAGATACGTGTCAACTAAGCAAAATGCGGTTTTGTGTAGATATTTTATAGCATTTTATTTTATTTTATTTTTTAATTTTTAAATTTATTTCATATAAGATAATCAGTGATTAAATAAACAAGTTAATTTGTCTAACAAATAATATCTGTCTATCACTATGAGAGTTAGTTACAATTAACTTCTGAAAATCACAGCAAATAATAATTATAACAGTATTAGAATTGAATCTTTTTAATTACTTTCAAAACAGATTTGCGGGTGAGAGATCGTTCGATAGACTATATGTATTTTAATGAGTACAATTTCGTTTTGTTTCAATTAAAAAAATTTATATTAAGTTTGTGTAAATATTAAAAGACATAAACATTTAAAATTTCAATTTTTCAAATAAAAATTTTATAATTAAAATTTATTTTTTATATCTACATTTATTTATTATATCTTCTCTTACAATCAGACTAACAATAAGTTTTAAAATCTTATCACTAAATACATAATATTACAATTTTTATTTATACTATATATTATATAAAAAAAAATAAGTAAACCTTATATCACGAGCTCCACTTAAATCAATGGGTTAGGTTTCATTGGAAAATAAATGTAAGGTGGTTCATTAAGAAAGCAAGTGAGATTTATCAGATCACTAAGAAAAGAGTGGGGTTTCTATTTGTACCTATTGAATTTTAATTAAAGACTGGAGCTCTTTTTAAAAGCTCATTTTAGACAGGAAGTAATGGATAGAAGTGCGAGATTCCCAGCTAAGTCGTTAACATTTTCTGTCAGTGTTTTATTGAATTTTTTTTCATATATTGTCAAATTCAGCTTTAACTAATGCTATTTGTAGATCTCGGTGAATGCTTTCATATCTGATATACCATGGAATACCAGTATACCAATATTGTTTTCAATATCTTTGACTGAGCTCTTTGAATAATTTCAATACTTGACACACTAGTATTACTAAATACTTAGATACAATAAAAGGACAGAAACGTCGCATTATGCAAAATAATTCTACAACAACTACTCACACAAGTAAATTTTTTCAGACCCAAGACCAAATAAAACACATCAAAGTCGTTCATATTCAATGGCATATTAATAGTTTTATTTGATTGTCGTGGTGAGATGCGTAATGAATTCATTCCACAGGGCTAAACTGTTTACGAGAAATATTATTTGTAGATTTTACTTCTCTTTGTAAAAAAAGACTAACATTGCATAGAAAAAGTACTAGGTTTTTGCACATGATAATACGCCACCTCACATTACATTGGTTTTTCGAGATCTCTTCGCCAAATGTACAACTTCTTGAATTCCTTGACGTCTTGTTCATCAATTGATATTTATGATCGTTCAGGGTGATTTTTGTGTTCTATTATTTATTTATTTATTATTTTATTTATTTATTTATTATTATGCTATTCATTTATTTATTAAATCACTTAATTATAGATGTTCATTTTAATTCCAATTTTAATTAAACTTGCAATCAACGAAGTCATTACCAATTTGAGGTTATGTACTATTGATAAGATACATGAATTTTTTATTCACACGTTCTCACGCTTTTAAGGGTTCTATTTGCTGTGAAACCCTAAATTTATTTATGTGTTTGATTATCTTGCATTTTTTTTGTGGCCACTAATGAAAGCAAAAGAAACGAAGTGAAAAAATATTTAGTTTTTTATTTACTCACCAATTAATTATTTATTTATTAAATACTTAAGAAAAATGTTACACTTTAAAAAAAAAATAATAATAAACAAAAATAAAAATAAAAAAGCACCTTCAAAATGTTGACTTAATTATCAAACAACTTGACAACCGGCACATGAGCGCGAGTAAAGTGCACTGTGGCAAAGCAAAACAAATCTTCTAAACAATTGTGTGTAAAAGAAAAGAGAGAGAGAGAGAGAACTTAAAATACTCTTTCATGCTCTTGTGTGTGTACTCTTTAAAGACTGATCTTCCATATGAAAGCATAAACTTTAAGAGAAACGTAGTGGATTTGCTGTGCAATCGCCTGAAAAAGTTATATATGTTAATCGTTAATGAATAAATAAAAATTATTAAGTTATATTTAATATAATTAATAATAATTAATAATAATAATAATAATATATACACTGTAATTAAAATATATTATTAATTACATGTTTTTATTTTTATTTTTATTAATATATATATGTATACTCTTTTATATTCTATTATATTATTTATTTATTAATATTCTATTTTAATAGTAGTAAGCTGTGGGCTATAGCAGATAAGATTCCTCTCAATGTGACATACACATGGGGAGATTTTGGCGTTTAAAAATTCTCTTAAAATATTTCAGCCCATTTATAATATATTATATTTAATAGTTTATTTTTAGTTAAATGTTTGTATATAAACTCTGAATTAATCTTCAAAAAGCTATCCTTATATAAAAACATCTCTTTTATAGTACATTCATATTCACACTGTCTCATTTAGACACTTGATCATTTATATTAATGAGCAAACGTTCACATTATTATAAGTGCATTTATGCAGCTGATAAAACTTTAATAAACTTAATAATAAACCACTTAATAATATTATACACAAAAATTTTAAATATATAATTTATATATTAAGTCATTTATATAAATTTTATATAAATGACTATATATATAAATTCAATTACATACTCAATTATAAAAAACAAACATATTATTAAATATTTACTTCCTCAGTACCTCATTTACAGCTCAGCTGTTCCTTGTTTACATTTTATATAGAAAACATATCAATCAGTCAATCAATCCAGTACGTTCCCAGGGGAACATTGGGCCATAACGAACTTTTTCCAACTGTCACGATTTTTTGCCAGGGTTTTAATTTCTCCAAAGGTTTTTTCGCTTGCTTGGATTTCTTTCTCCAGTGTTCGCTTCCATATGACATACATATATTTTTTATTTTGGCAATTTCTCTAGCGGGAAATTTATATTAAACGGTTGCATTCGACATTTTTCGCCTTGAACTGATTTATTGATAATGAACTGTTTTATATGAAAGATTTTTATCTGGTGAATCAGTAGCTAATAATGAGTAAAACAGCCTAAATGCGACAGTGTACATGTGTTATTAGCTAATGCCAATGGTATCTCTCCATTTATACGATCACATATGCATATATATATACGTAAATCAGAAATAAATTAAAAAAGAAAAAATTAATAATATCTTATTTTTTTTAGAGAATATAAAAATATAGAAGGGGTGAGGTCTATCCAAGGAAAAATTCAAGCATAAATTCGTGACTCAAGCTATATTTACAAAAAAAAAAAACAATATATATAACTGAAGATATATTCAGCGTAAGAAAAGTCTACCTCAACTTTTATCTTTATCTTTATCGATTTTAAGTATTGATGATTATATATCATATTATTAACATATTAAATATTATTATTATCATTGGGCACAAATATTATTGTATTATGTTTAATGCATAAATACCGAACGATCGAAAGCAGTATCACTTCAGCAGTACCCAGAGAAATCTTAATCTTTTCCAGATAGGTGTTTGACCACTCAATGATATATATAGTTTGATTGATTATAATATCCTTTTTAAATAAAAATTTAAATTTAAATTAAACCATTGAAAATCAGTTGAAAAACGCTGGTAACCCTGATATATAGATTCACAGAATGATTGATTTCGGACATAAAAAAAAAAAATATAACTATTTACTCTTTTACGGGATATATTAAAAACACATCCTTGCTTGTAAGTTGAAAAAGAAACAATAAAACCATAGTTGCATCAGTTCTGACCTATGGGCGAAAAGTATAGACACTGAGAATGACACATGTCGATGCCTTAAGTTTAGTTAAGTCGAATACTGTGAGTGTAAAAAAAATATCAGATCTTATTTGAGATGTAAATGGATTGTAGAGAGTGTGAATCAATAAGGGAATACAAAGAATGAAATTCGAAACATAAAGCATGGAATGGGTACTTTTAAACAAGACAAATAAACTTGGAGAAAAAGAAAAAATCGGTTTTTGTTAGTACTGTTATTGCTAATTTGTGAAAAATAAGAATAAAAATCTGGAAACAAACTTTCAACAATCGTAGAGAGTGGAGTACAGAAATATAAAGGCTTTACGAAGAAGAAGACTTAAACTGTCATTCTAAAAAGTTTACTAAAATAATTGCACTCATACTACGTATTCAATGGAAAGCTTTATTAACTTCAAATCAAAGCACTAGTGTAGAGTGCATACCAGTGAATTCTTCACCAAATCTTCGCTTAAACATTTCTTGGTTTAACCCAAATAAAACTACTACGTCCAGTCTTCCAGACACCAGACAAACATTAAATTCGATAAATGTTTGATTGATGAGTTCATATTTTTATTTATTATTTTAATTTATTATTATATGTTTCTGCTATATAACTATTTATATCAATTGTATTTTATTCTATTTTAGAAATAGAAATTTTTATTGATAGAGAAATTCTATAATGAAATGTAGCTTTAACATAAAATTTATAATTTCAAACCTTATCATAATTAAACTTAAGTTAATAATACTAATGCACTTACTACATTCTATTAAGTAATTGTATGGTTTTATCTAGTCTAGAACATAAACCTCTAAGGATTTATTTATCAGAAAGTACATTATTAAATGCATTTCATAATTAAAATGAAGGAATGCCTTTGGCAGTTCTAATTTCAATAACAGGCAAATGCACGAATACTAAAATACAAGCTCATTGCAAGCTCACATGCAATATGGCATGCACTTAAGCCTTTAATGGTAATATGTCTATTTTGTTTATATAATTTATTTAATTAATATTAATCGCAATGTTAAAAAAGTTTTGTATTAATTTTGCAACTGAAATTCAAAATCTATTAAAAGACATTGTATATGAGTAAATTACACATTTTTTTATATTAAAGGAATTATATTTCGGATGGACAGACGGAATATATAAAAAGTTTTCACTTT